CTCCGCTGACCTTTGAACCTCTGACACTTGCCTTTTTTCTTTTTTTAATTATCTTTGTTCAATTAATGTGAGCGGTGTCGATTGCCTGACTTTACAGAAAGGTTATGTAATCAAGGCGCCCATATTTCAGTATGGACAAAGACAAAAGCACTCTAAATTAAATCTCCTCGTAATCCCTCCTGACAGACTCAATGTGTGTGTTTAGTTGCCATTACTGAATGCATTTCCCAGTTGTATGTAAAATAGATTTTTTTTTTTATTTCCTTCCACAGTAACTGCCTGGTTATTGGATTGTTGGAAATGCCCAGCTTTACTGCAACCCTAAATTTGCTTTGGTCTTAAAATCTTGTGTGCGTGGCTCTGTAATAAGCTTACTCGATGTTGCGCCATATTACATTTTTATTATATTTTTAATCTTAAACTTTCTTTGTACTTGCATATTGGAATTCTTTTTTGATTTGTCTAATTGTACATTAACTTGTGTACATTAGTTCATGAATAATAAAAACAGTAATAACAAACAAAGAAGTATCTGGTTGTAAATCTTTGCCCTTCCAAGTTCCTCAAAAATTAAGGTCTGAAAGCTGACGGTCCCTGATAGTAAAGGCTGATTCAACTTCATATTTTGACAATAGCATAAGGTTTAAAAGCTGAGATGTTTCGTTTTTCATGCTCCTTAACAAAAACAGCATTAATAAGTTTCAGCAGTTTTTATTTCAATACTTTTGGTTAATTTTGAAAATGTGTATTTATGTCCAAATGTATTTTACAATGATTAGCTTATCGATATACTTTCATTTTCTATTTCATATTAACCTTTAAAGAGACAAAGAAATTAAACTCTTCTGCAACTGACTGGGTAAAAATCTGAAGCTGAAGCTTTTTAAGGTGTCTGTTCTTGCAGAGGACTTTATCAGCTTCTCATCATAAACTCGATGCTTCTCTTAGCTATGCTGTGCCGTGCCGGGCAACTACTAATATCTGCCAGACATATATATATCCCATAAGCTTTAATGTGGAATGTCACAAAATAGTGTGCAAACACCTGGTGTTCCCAGGAGATGAAGCTGGTGCATGTGCAGAGCCGGTTCTGTTTTGGCAGGATAGTGTGCAGCAGCAGACGTGATAATAAAAAAATAACAATCTGCAGGGTCCAATTATTACCTTTCATAACCATGTATCAATTTCAGGGACATAGGGTGTGGGGGCCTTCAGTCTATCACAGCTTTGGGCACGAGGCAGGGTACACGCTGAAGAATTTGCTGAAGTCCATCACAGGGCCAATACAGAACGACCAAAAGCATTAATGATCATGTTCACACCTACAGCCAATTTAGTTTCACCAGTTAACGAGACATGTATTTGGACTGTGGGAGGAAGCTCGAATACGCAGAAAGAAGCCACACAGACATAAAACGAACATGCAAACTCAACATAGAAAGCCCCCAGCTGACCTGCAGGTTCAAACTCAGGACAGTGCACTGCAGGAGGTATCATTCCTGCAGGAGCCTCTTACACTTTGGGCCCTTTTTGTCATACTTTTCATTTATTGACTTTGCCTCAGTTTCTGCTGGAAAGTAGAACATTTGCAGTTCTTGACATTATTGGATGGATAGTAATGAAATGTCTTGCAAAGTATTACGGCCCCCGATATGCTGGCACCATTAAAATATTGGATTATGACCAATGAGCTTGCAGCTGTACTTGTTTTTAGATCGTTTCCAAATGTGTGCATCATTGTTTTGTTTAAAGCAAAGCTGAATATAGCTGAGAGTGCAATCCCATCTATTGGCAATGTATATGCACCATTGATAGCTGGGGCCTCTCTCTCATCAGCAAGTTTTACAACTGTGCTTTTGGAAGTGCTCCCAAACATCACTATGATTTTTACTGGCAAGCTCAGTTTGACTGACTGATGAACACGAGAGTCCTCAATGTAACTGAGTGTGCCAAGTGTACTTTAGCCAGTCAGTAATTGATTTCCTGAGATGAAGTGGTTAATAAATCCAAGTTATAATATCAGGCAAAGTGTTCACAATGAAATCTGATACTCTGATGAGACCGAGTGGAGGTCTTCAGTATGCAAAGAGAGCCGCACCGGACCTAAGACCCTGAGAATACACATGGCTGATCAATCAAGCGGATACAGTAAACACCAGTGGGCCAGTGTGAGCTGCCTCTGTGTGTTTCAAGATGTTCTTGCTGAATAACATTAATGACATTTGAATAATGCAAAACTGCTCAATGGTGTCAGAGAATGAGGCCTGAAGTGGAGGCCTTCGTAAGCTAAGTGCAGCTTCTTTTAGATTGGACCATCTTTAAAAATAAAAAATCTGCTTTTTGTAAACCATTAGAGGAAAAAAAAACAATTTTGAAGTTCATAGCCTTTCTGTAATTGCCTCATGCAAGAAAAGTCTAATTACGTGTCCTCTAGAGAGCCTTGAACTGCTGCATGTTTAAAAACAAGAGGGTAATGAAGCAAAAGTGAAGGAGCTGTTAATTACTAATATAGTATTTGTAGCTGCGATACCACGGACATCCTTCAGGAATTCAGGTGAAATAACACTCACAAGACAGGAAAAAGGATTTGTGTGAGATCCGGGTTCCGTTAAAGCTGCGGCAAAAAATAGGCTGGTCTTGTGGGAAGGGCTTGATTGGCAGGGAAGAGCTTTGAACCTGATGTTTGCAAGCTTTGCGGTAAAGCGACTCCCACGTGTTCTTTGGGGAGGCTTTGTTGTTGTGACTGGAGGAAGGCTTGACAACATCCTCTTACATTAAACAATACCCAAGAGTTCAGGCAATTCCTGGAGATAACAAAGAGTTGTGGCCTGTACTGTTTTCTGGTGTTTTTGAATTTTTATTTTATTTTTTAATATAACAGGAATCAAATTGCTTCTTGTTTTTCTCTTTTAGTATTATTATTTTTTATTATTATTGTTGTTATGGCTCCCAGGCTAGAAGCACTTTCATCAACTTAAGGTTCAAATATTATTAACAATTTCATAATATTGGTTAAAATGGAGGAAGCAATTCTCCAAGAAGAAGTGAAGACCAGCATGGTTTAGTTATGGGAACGGAAACTGTCAATATTTCAAAACACTTTGCTACAAAATGATTTAATTTTGCCATGAAATTTTGAATAATATTCATGATCCCTACAGAAGCAAATGCATTTGAATAAAGTGATTACATTTTTGAATTGATCTACTTTATTATATTTATTATAACTACTTTATAAACAATCTGCTAAACACATAGATTGACTGACACATAATGAACATCGGTATAAAAGTCTAACATAGGAACATGGCAGATTTCTTCGGACCTTCTAATTCACATTCAGAGTCCCTGGACAGGGTACATAAAGCTATACAATACAAGAAAGGTTAAATACATAAAAACATAAAAACAAAAATTCATCACACTAAATTGAATTCTCCCTTTTCAAAATTCAGAGATACAGAGATCAGAATACTCTTCTAGTGCCTACAATTTAGCTTTCAATCTCTGGACTGCAGATACAAAGAAGGGGAAACAGTATAATCATTTAAACTAGCTCTTCATCATGTGAACCACCTGCTCCTTGCTTTTGCAATATTTTTCTTACAACATCCCCAAACTGCTCAAATGTCAGTCATTGTCTACTGTGCAGATATTGCCATAGTCTATAAGAGCAAAAATATCCAAAGTTAATATAACAACTTGGCAGAAAATTACATATATTCCTAGAAAATGTCTTACTTTAAACATTCTTTGTAAGTTTGTAACAGAAAAATGTTATAAAACCATTTTGGGACCATTTACAAGTCTAACGAAGAGAATTGTTGAAAGGTCTGGAAGAATAAATATGAAGTTGTTATAATTCTTTTGACTAAAATATTTCACCATCCCCAAGACACAGAATTAGCATAGAGGAGCTGTGCTGCTCAACACACTGTAATATAATTTAGAAAGAATTTCTTCAACCAAAAAATCTAATTAAGATTGTGGGACAGGCTGAATGTATGTATAGTGTTGAAGTCTTGGCGTGATCAGCCTACACATTACACTTTGTGTTTTGATGAGATGCCAGGAAATAAAGTATTAGTATACTTCTCCGGAATAGCCTGCACTCAGCTGGCAGTGCACTATACCTGTTTATAACCATCTAACAATGTTCAAATGTTGACTAAAAACACAAGCAATGCTGTTAAAGGTAAATTCAAGTTGATTGTAGTCATATCAGCAACACAGCTGATAGGAAATTGTCTGCCAATTGTTGCCAACAACACACAACAAAGGGTGTAACACATCACTCCCTAGAAGCAGTGCAGTGTATCAGTGTACCTAACTTTAAAGTGCTTTTAGTGCAAGAAGGTAGAGCCCACATTACAGAAGGAAACAACATAGTGCAAGAAGTGTAGTTAATATTGCAAATACATGATACCTGAGTATATGTTTCATGGCATTCTGAAGCAATCTGTGCAGCTAAACTGAATTAGCAGGAGGTTCAGGGCATATTTAAATGCACTGAACAGCTTGAAGGTAGGTACCATCCGTGAAGAGTGATGTTCAAGTTATAGTTCACAAAAACAGAGGACTAGGCAACTGGAAAAATAAAAATACATTAAATTCAATATTGTATTATTATTATTATTATTATTTTTGTAGTGATTAAAAAATGAAGAACAAATTCAAGATAATGAAAACTAATCCGAAACCGACAAAAATAAAGTCATCATTTATGAAAAATATAAGCATCTCTGATCAGTATGTGCTCTTTGTTTAATACTCTAGCAACTCACAGAGTAATGTGTGTATTATTTTAATGCATGAAGTAATTTTTATGTTACGGTATATCGATTTTATGTAACCAATACGACGTCAAACACCATTGTCACAAATACAATCACGCTGGGAGGCAGGAAGAATGTCTGTCAGCTGTGTGTCACGCTCTCATCTAATTGGTCAGAAGCTGCCTTGGCTCTTTTTTCCTATTGGTAGTTTTTGTGGCCGGTCTCGTCACAACAGGAAGAGATGCTAACTGGTCGTCTGCCTGGCAGGTAAATAGTACACACCGGGGATGCTAGCTGTGGTCATTTCCGACACTACTAAAGGACAGAAACTCCGGGCTAACTGGAGCAAAGATGAAAGCCCATTCTTTACTGAGGATATTAAGGTATGTAAGGAACACCAGCTGTTTCGTTTTGACAGTTCAGAAAAGGAGAAGTTGGAGGGCGCGGCCTGCTGTCATTAGCATGCTAGCTAACCTCAGTGCTAACGTTATGATATTGAGCGGCTCTTAAATTAATGGCTTAATACGTCATTAGCAAAGAAAGAGGCTGACTGCAGAGGACAAATCAGTAACTCAGACTTTTGCTACGAATGTGTAAAAAGAAGATAGGAAGATAAGCTAAATTCAACAACAGTTTTTGTTTGTTGTAGGTAATGCTCAGGAAATTGCTCAAGACTTGGGATTAGCTAGGTGTGTGGTTAGTTTCAGGTGTCTCTGGATTCCAGATTACACTGAGCTGGAGTGAGTAATCGTTTCACACCTGGCCTTCTATAAAATGATGCAGCGATGTCCTTTTATGTATGTCATTACCTCTGTCAACAAAGGCAAACTGACAGACAACTTCCCCATTATTTTTTTATTTTTTTTGCCACGTTCGGTTCATCTTGCAGTCCGACATTTATTTGGGTTAAACGTCTTAATTGCTCTTTGGTTACCTGTGTGCGCTAATATAATGCTGATAATCAAATTAATGCACATATTTTGGGGCTTTTAATCTGCCAGTCATCTTAGCTATGGATTCTCTGTATAGCCTTTTTCAACTACGGCAATGGGACAGTGCGCCTCGATTGTTTGTGTACCTTTGTTTTTTTGTTGTCAGAATCCCAACCACAAGCTAGCATTTATAATCCCTCCTAAATAAAAATAATGATGTTAGGAACAGGTGCATCTGTGGCTGATAATTCATGCCCGCATGCTTATGAGTTACTTTTATATCAGTAAGTGAGTATTTTTTTCAGTCTATTTAGAAGGTTTGAATTGGACATAAAAAAGTACTGTGTAGTTATAACAGGGTTTTGTACTTTTATTTATCCACTAGGATATGAAATTGTAATGAACGCTCAGTGACAGTAGACTCACTAAGTATAGAAAGAGACTTAAATTGCACTTTTTTCTTAAGACATCCCAGTGTGTTGTACATTTGCTCATTGTGTAAAAATGTGTATATGTTTATAATGCACCTCTTTAATGAAGAATAGAAGGGTGCGTCCCCCCCCCCCCCCCCCCCCCCCCCCCCCCATGTACTGAATTATGCAGTAGTTCTGCTCAGTGTGCCCATTGAATGGTCATTGGCATGAAAAAGTTAGTTAACATAATTGTTGTTTACAAACTAAAGACTGATGGGTGTTGTTTACTTCAGATGATGACTTCTTGCTGTAATCTAGTCACCATTATGAACCTAAAGTGAAAACACTGAGCTTGCAGAAAACAATTATGAGTCAGTGATTGCCAACGCTGATCTTTCCTGAAAGCCAGCATCTCATATCATGTGCTAGATTGTAAAACCTGAACTTGCCTTACAGGAATACGTAGTCTGGGTATTTCCAGAATACAGTTTTGGGTTTTTTTTTGTTTTGTTTTTTTTAAAAACATATGATTTAAGCATCATACTTTGGTTTGATGGCTGATGATCATTCAGACTTCTGTGTTAAATTAATGCTTCAGACAACCATGCAAAATGTGATTTACTCTTAACAGTGTAGAGTCTATGTTTTAGCTTTGCAAGTGGTTATATGTTCTGTGGTTTATCAAGTCAAGTTGATCCCTTTTTTCTTTTTTTTCATTTGATTTTAAAAATAGCAGCGAAAGTCGTAGTTGTACTAGCTGGAAATGCATGTCAGAATATGGTGTGAGTCAAAGTATTTTAGAGAGGTTTGGTGTTTTAATGTATTAACACTTTGCTTTAACATGAGAGTGTAAATCTCACACCAGGAGTGATATGAAAAGATGAGAGGGGAGAAGAAGTGCTCAGTGCATCATCATAATGTAATGCTATGATGACTTTAATGTGATGGGAACACGATCATTGAGGAAATTGTATGTTAGAAGGAAATTTTTTTTAATATCACTTCTCGATTTAAAAGGGAGCCACTGAAGAGAAGCTAATATGAGAGAAATATAATCTCTCTTTCTGTTCGCTGTTAGTACTCTTTCTGTGTGTTTTGGATATACAGAAGAGTGAGGTAAGCTTTATGATAAGGAATCATGGTAGGCTAGCCAGGAAGTAAGATTCTGGAATGTGGGCAGGTTTGAACACAATGACCTAAAGGATCTTTTGCCCATTTCCTTATAATTTGCTTCAGAAGAGAAACCGACAGCCACAGCAGGATTAGCATCTAGCAGGTCCATGTGAGATCAGAAACGTCTGTTAATTTAAAGTCTGTCAAATGTGACAAGCAAACACATGTAGTTACATGTAGTATCTGTCAGAAAGAAACTTTTAGAAACTGTGTTTTCTGTTGGAAATTGTGCTGGGATTGTTTTCATCTCACTGGTTTTACAGCCAACAATGTTTGGGGTGGATTAGATGAGGATTTGTGTTTGTGTGTACAGTATTGAAGCCTTTAAGCATGGGGTGACTGAGATCACAGCATACACGGGCACACATGAGCCTTTCACCAGCCTCCTGTCACTAATAATCATTGAAGCAAATACAAATAACTGAACGAGCCACAACATGCAAAGTAGTTACGCATTTTCCTAATTATGATTGTGCGTCATGTTATGCATACTGTACTGTAATGTACTGGAAATATGCATTATGTGACTGGTTTGAAATCTTAAAAAAAACTTCACAGTAAGTTAACTATATACTAATAACTAATGCTAATTTTATTATTTTCATGCTTTGGGCTTGCCTGTCTGTACATGAGTCCCAATGGACTCAGACAGTTATGTTCTAATGTGTGAAAATGTCTGCTGCATCTTTGCTTCATGTCTACAGGGATGTGAACTATAACTTGGAGGGATATGACCACAGGATATAAGATGAAACAAGCAATGATCCTTTTGCCCGCCAATCTTGTTTATAATTTCTCTTTTACAGAATCATATTTGCAAATTAATCTGCCAGATTTTATGTGATGCAAATTTTATGCCAAATATGATGCAGCCCTGCCAGTGTAGACATAGTGTAGTTCTAACATGTAACTTGCTGTGTCGATGCAGCAGTTTTGATAACGCACATTTATCATTAGGTACGACACAGTTTGCAAAATAGTTAAGACACTATAAAATGGAAATAAAAGCAGAAAAGCAAAAAATTGTGACTTATTTAAACTCTATATTAAAGAATTTTAAAGGAAAACATATTAGAGCCAGAAACTTGATTATTATTGTTATTAATATCATTTTGAGTGTGGTGCAGTTGTGACAGACATATTTGGTGTTTTGCATTATTGCTGATTTTAGCAAGACTGTAAACAGGATCTTAGTTGCTCTTCAGGACTTCCTTTGTTGTTTTTTCACAATGAGTCTAAACTTTTCAGCTCTTAATAAGTCTAGGCATGCAGTTCAGACTCATAACATCCAGAATATAGTTTGAACAAGTTTCAAGCCATTGCCTACAAAAGACATCTGGATGCCAGTATTTCTTTAAAACTTCCAAAGCTTGTTCAGAATTTATTCTTCACGGATGTGCAAAATGTTCATGTAGTGACCACTAATACCATCCCGTGCTTCCACAGATGCTGGCTTTCAAATTGTGCACTGAGAAAGTGGAAGGCCCCTCTGGAAATCTGGAACTCTATGTACCAAAACAGTTCCTCTGATTTCCAAGAATAATTTTAAGTTGTTGACTCACCCCCCTGAGGAGGCAGCTGTGCGGATGCAGAGACGTTTCTAAAGGGGAAAAAAAAAGTTTAATCTTGTATTTATCTGCATGATGGTTATAACAAGTCACTATTGATAGTATTTGTCTTTCTCTGCAGTGATGTAGTTCATTGCATACTTAAACATGTTCATGTGCCAGTGAAACTAATTTGACATTTGATCATTTCAGTTTTAGACACCTGACTGCGAGCCTGTAGCCATGGATGGACATGCTGCCAAAACCAATGAAAGCACCTTCCCCAGCTTTGTGGATCTGGATAATTTCCTTACCAAGCATGATTCCAACTTCATCTGGCTTCTTGTTGGTCAGTAGTTAAAATTTTTATGGAGACACTTAATTTGTATGTGTTCCAAATATTGGCTTTGCAGCAGTAATATTATTTCAGTCAATGCATCTTTATGAGAGTGCAATTTAATTCACTTCACTGCACACGAAGGGCATTTTTTTGGCCTTTATACTCGGTGTTGAATGCATAGCAATGATTCAGCTCAGTTTACAGTACGTTTATGTGTTCTCTTGACATGTTGGACATTTTGCTGTACTGAGCTCTAGGACTGAGTATAGTCCTAGATAAACGTTTTAAAAGCAGGTGTCCTTTGAATTTAAGCTTAATCCATATCTGGATTCAGTCATTAAGGAATATATACCCCATCTTTTTATAGAGAAGAGCAGGTTCACCTGAATTTGCACTAAAGCAGGTGAAATGGAGTGTATATGAATTCCATCTGCATTACCAATTATAGTGCCTAAGGAAACAGAGTACTTTCAGGTGGGGTTCCTAATGTGTTACTAGTACTCATGCTGTGCTGTTGCAGAATTTGACCCAACAGAGATTAATCAAGCATTGTGATTATATTTGAAAGTGTTGGCCTACTAAATTATTATGTTTACAAGCAGACAGAAGCTTCTGTAACTCTTAAAATAAATTTTACTGACTGAAATCATGTTCTTTCTTTCCCCTTTCAGCCACCATTCTGTCCTGTGGATGGATTATCTATTTAACTTATTACAACTCACGCAACATTGGCCTCATTCTCACCCTCATCATCAACAGACTCTACAAGGATGGCTACATTCACATCGGTGTGTTCATCAGGAGCTCTGTCGCACAGGGATGAATAGGGAGGAGGAAGCGTTCAGTTGAAGGCGTTAACTCAATCTGCTGAATATTTCATGATGAGCCAGGTTCTCTCAGTGATTATATCCACAGCATCTGAGCAAACGATACCAGACTTTCTAAACATGGGTGACACAATCCACAATCCAATGAAACCTTACTTAGTTTTTAGGATGTGAGCTTCTCTTTCAAAAACGCATATCAATTAAACACAAACTTGAACCTGACTGACAGCATGAATGAGAAATGCAAAATGACAACAAAGGCAGCATGAAAGTTTAATGAGAAGAGCAAGGCGTAGTTGACATCTCTTTGCCAACATATGCTGGTACAAACTGAGCAGTCACCCTTTTGTTTGCGATTGACTTTTCTATCCAGATAAAGAGAACGTATACTTTTTACTGACATATTTGTGTCAGGTGTTAAGCAGGTTCAAACATGCCTCAGGTGTGTTTCGCTATCATTTAGCTTCAACTCAATCCTGCATGAATTTACAGGAAGGCATTAGCCTTTGTGGTTCTGTGTGGATTTTTGGAGCGAGTTAGACATTGTCTCGTCAGTCAGTGGAAAGGAATTTCACCAGTGTGAGGAAGCTTTACATTGGATGATAATGCATGAAGCGCTCAGGTGCTGTCGCTCTGTTTGCATGAAGTAATTGAAACTGAGAAAGACATGTTATGAGCCAAAAGAGATTATTAACAGGAAATCAAATTCATCCTTCTCACTCAGTGACAGACTCACACCCACTTGCTGATTTAGATCGTAATTAAGATTGTTTTTGGGGTGTTTTTTCTCTCTCTCTTTGATAAGAGTGAAAGTGCGATTAAATATCCCAGCAACACCCATGCTGCTGTTATTGTACCAGAGCTTTTATAATTCTGTAATTGCAGTTTTGTAATGATTCATTTAACTGGTTAAGCTTGAATTGAAGACATTGCAATCAAATCCAAAGAAATTTGCAGGATGTTACTAGTACGGTTTAATAGTAAAACCAACACTTTATGTTGCCATTTTAAAACATGCTCACACTGTTCAACTTTGCCTTTGTGCACAGGCTCCTTCTCCTTCTCTGTTCTGTCAGGGAAGGTCATGTTCAGAGATGTCTACTACATCAACCAAGACATGTCTATCAGGTAATCTGACCGATGTTTCTGTTGTTGCTTCTCCTCCATCCGTCCCACTCTTATCTTATAATTTGCATGCTGATTGTTGTTTGTGTGTGTTACAGGATACAGGATGGCTTTCTCATATTTCGTTGGTGGAAAATGTATAATCCAAAACAGAAACAACATGGTGAGTAGAGAAGTATTTGATGACTGCTTAGATTAAACTTTTAAATGCATATGTTAGTCCACCACAGAAAAAATATATGTATATATTGGAAATCTTAGGTTATCTATGTTTGACTATCAAGATGCAACTTTTCTAACTGAGTTAGTTTCATGTGGCAACATCACCTTGAGTTCTGAGTTGTCTCTGTTTTTGCATCAGATCCCAAGGCAGAGACGAGGCTTTACGTGACTGTCAACGGCTTTGAGTTCCATGTCTATAACCGGACTGACCTCTACGCACGACTGCAGGAGACCTTTGGACTGGAACCCACGCTTCAAAGGCCCAAAAAAGATGAAGAGAGGGGGCGAGAGGACAGAAACAAGACACTGGAAAGGTATAACTACGGCATCATCGGGCAACTTTGCTTTTTATCCAGTGTTAAAATTCTTTGTAAGACATGAGTCTTATTTGAAGTTTCTAAGTTGTTAATTGCTCTAGTTGTGTTACCTTAAAATCAAATAAAAATGCCTTTGGATGATTTGTCAGTTTTTAGCTATATCTGAAACAAAAAGAACACATGCAACAGTCTAAATGCTTGTTTACCTTTTTTTAAAAAAAGTGTATATTTTGTTTTTTAATTGTGATAACATTGTTGGGAGTACAGCTTTTTATATTTTCTCAGCATGTCTGTATGGTTTCAGTTCAGCAGAACAGAAATGAGTGCAAGAGCACATTCAGTGGTTGTGAATAATAAACAGCTGCTGAAAAAGTTGCATAATGTCACACCCTTTTCTATCTGTTGTTACCAAGTGGATTAGAAGTGCAGACAGAACAGAGCTACTGTCGTTTCCTGCTGACAGTCAAATTAGTTGAACTGACTAGAATCACACCTCTACTTAAAGATTGTGAAACTGTCTTCTGTTTCTTGTGTAGTGTCAACATTAAAGCTGAAAGTCAGGATCCCTCATCATCTTGGCGGTCCCTCATTCCCGTCATCAAAGTTAACATCAGCACTGTAAGTACCTAAGAACATCTCAAAACCTTTTAGAGGCATGTAATACAATTTAATAAAAAAATAATGTGTGTTTGCTGTCTTGTAGGGCCGCTTAGCATTTGGGAACCACTACCTTCCACAGACTCTGTGCATGAACTTTGAGGATGCCTGCCTGACGTATGCCACCAAACCTCCCTCCAGCCACTTGGACCAGTACATGCACATTGTCAAAGGCTCACTGGAGAATGTGCGGGTCATGCTGGTTCCCAGTCCTCGCTACCTGGGCATGCAGAATGACGAGTGAGTTAAAGTCATCTAAGAAAGATAAGCACATAAACAGTATTTCTCTGTTTACAGTGTTGTTGATAATAAAACTTTTTACCTCAAAGCATTTTTAGAGGAGTTGTAGCCCAAAAAATAACTCGGCTTGAAGAATATCCTATTTCTTTATTTCCACGTATTTCTTTAAGTATATTATAATGACTAGTGCTAGTTCTCCGTAGTGCTTCTCATCTATCCTGCCGCATGCATATCTATGGTGTGAATCTTAAGAACAGACAGGATGAGACTGGGTTTGTATTTTTCATCTAGTTTGTACAAAACACAAGTAGAAGATTTTTGTTACCTTAGAATAATTTTATTTTAATGACTGCTGTTTTTTACTCAATTACGCTGCCAAGTGAATGTCGCTCTTTCAAGTACACTGAGACTGAATTGCATTGCATTAAAGATCATGGGTTTACAGTATAGAAGAATAGGCCACAGAGTTCCAAGTCTCTGTTTAACATATTTGCCCCCGAATTGTCATTTCGTGAATTTCTCATCTAGACCCCCCAGACTGATGGGAGAGGGCTTTGTTGTGATGCAGTCCAATGATGTTGACATCTACTATTACCAAGATGAACCAGGTAAGCTCATGCATGCACACATCCGCTGAGATTTCTGACATTAACAAGACATTAACATGAATAACTGATAGCTGCTGACACTAAATGTAAAATTTGCCAGCCAGTATGCTGTCTCTATTAAAGTATATTCTTGATTGTTTTTAGTGCAGTTGTGTATTTTTGTTCAGCCTTCTGCTGATACCCAGGTTTTGACGTTTTCACTGTGTATGTGTCCAGGTCTGGTTCCTGTCGAGCAGGAGAGTGGCGAGGAAGCAGAGACGAGCAGTGAGGATGATAAGCTGCAGGACCTGCCTCCTTGCTGGGGTCTGGACATCGTCTGTGGGAAAGGAACTGACTTCAACTATGGGCCCTGGGCAGACCGGCAGAGGTGAGCACAGATGGACAAAACAAAATCAGCAATATGAAACCTGAACTAATAGGTTTTTAGAGTACAAGCTGACAGTTGGAGGTATTAGTTTTAAAGACATCTCTGTTTTTAATTGTAGTTCATACAGGTCCTGCTCAGGATTTTGTCACTGTAATACCACAAACTTATTATTGCACACACAGAATTTCCTTGGGTGAGCTGCCCAGACATATTAATCCTGGCTCAGTTATACTTTCAAGCATATTTACAGTGATGTGGTATGAACTGGAGAACTGGAGCGTAACTCCTTTTCATGTGTTGTTGAGCTCACCAAGGCTACCGAGTAAAAGCGTCATCAGCTGCACACCAAGAAGTTGGAGATTGTCTGTGGAGGCCATCACAAAGTACTAGGCATTAAAAACGTCTGCAAGCAGTAGGCTGCGCACTGATGCTGTGTCCATCTCTTTATTGCCTTAAATCTCTGAACATTATGTGAAATCCTTACTGTTCCTGTGTACACATAAAAAGCTCTTTGTTGCTTGGTTGCTGAAGTTGTTTTCAGGGTCGTTATGCACTTCCATATTTTAGATTTCATTCCAACTAAAACATGAATGAATGTGTTTGAGATGATGACCTATTGCTCACGAACCAGGAAAGAAATTAAATCCAGCTTCAGTATTTGCCGAGGGCTGGCTTCTGGAAGGCAGCCAATCAAAACTGATTGGGTTTGGTTTTGATTGATGACAGAAAGAAAACTCCTGATTTACTGGACAGTTTAGTTTAGAGATGTGCCAGTAGAAACTGGCTGAAGGGGGGGGGTGTCATCAAGTCTTTTATTCTAACACCCCGATGGTATGATTAGTTCACACTTGTAAGTATTTAGACTTGGCTCTATAATATGATTTTACCTTCTTCAGGGACTGTCTGTGGAAGTTCTTCCTGCCTGCAGACTACCAGGCCATGAAGGCAACTGAGGTGGCACAGCCGGGAAAACCCAGGCAGATCCAGGCCTTCGAGCTTCGCATGAACATCATTGCTGACGCCACCATCGATCTGCTTTTCACCAAAAACAGGGTGACTCTTGCTCTCTCTCCTGTCTGCTTTTTTTCCCCCTGCCAAACTCTTTGATCTGTCTTCGTCTCCCTGCTGTTCTGCTCGTCTTTGTCTTTATATCTCACCATGTTTGAGCTATTGATATTGGTTCATGTTTTATGCTTTTTCATATTTTCTTCCTGGAGCAGTGCAGGGATCTTCACAAAGCATGTGAAGTGCATACTAAATAACACCATTAATACATGTTGAATAAAAACCTAAAATTGCTCGAGTCGGGAAAGATTGTCATTTTATTACATCTTTTGAACACATTTCTCTTCAGATTAGGTGATGTTTTTCTTTCTTGTATTTTTATTCTCTGAAGCGCCCACTCATAATTTGACAGCATGTATGATATTGCTGCTTGCTTTCTCTCTCTTCTGATACGTCTTCATCCCTGTTACTAGGAAACCAATGCCATTCATGTGAATGTAGGTGCAGGCTCTTACCTGGAAGTCAACATCCCCATGACTGTGGGAGAGAATGGTAAGTGTGTGTTTCACTGAAATAACAGCAGTAGACCAAAGTATGAGTGTTCACATCAGCAAATATCCCCCTGGCTCAAGGTCAGCCCTGGTTAATGTAGGCGCACGCAGCAGTTTTCTCATCATGTAGTAATCATCTTTTACACTTAATAATGGCTGAACTGCTACTGTGATAAGCAGCTTTATCAGATCTCACTAGAAGTTCATTTAAGTGTACAGCGATGGATTCTTCAAGCTGCTTATAGTATGGCTAATGATGAAGATGAGGGTATCTCTGTTTTTATTATTATTTCAGATATTTATTACCATTGATATTCATCAAATTCATTTCTCAATAGGGCTGCCAGAAACGATTATTTTGATAGTCGACTAGTCACTGATTATTTTTGCGATTAGTCGACTAATCAGATCATGCATCCATTGGACATAAAACGTACAGCTTATTGCACCAGCATGCATCTGCTCTTATATAACTATCATTAGCTTACAGCTTTAAGTGTTTAAGGAATGTGCTAACTAAAAATAAAGACAAAATGATAGTTTATTAAATGTTAATTACATTTGCAGATTGTTTCGGTGGAGTTTAATAAACTCAGCCGTCTGCTCCTTGCGATCTAAAATATAACAGCACAGTATATTCTCGAGCATCTCACACTTCTGATGATCAGTTGTCTGCTTGACGTTTATTCAGCTGTGTAAAAACTTTAATCTCAGCCAAACCGATTTACTCAGGAACAAATAAAATACTGAAAAAAGCCAAACAATAACATTTGTAAGTTATCTAAGTGACATATATGTTTCACCTGAGTAGCGAAAGATGGCAGTGGGTTTGAAAACGATTTGCCGGGAGTCCGGTGTTCTCACTGGCTCTAGTTAGCCTTGCCCCCGCCTAGCTATCGAGCTGGTGGGTAACAGACGTCTCCGAAAACGTCGGAGCGCTTTTGCAAATATGTGGTGTCTTGATAAACTGAGCAGATATTTGAGGTTTCCACAGCTACATTCTCGCCTGAAAATATGTTAAACTTTACTTTGTGACCCAAAAAGAATAATAAGAGTAATATTAAAACTAACTAGCTGTCGCCATTGTTGACAACTGTTCTGGGCCGCGCTATGAATTATGGGACACAGCTTCTTCTTCGGGGTTTAACGGCAGCTGGCATCCTTGTACACGCAGTGCTGCCATCTTCTGTTTCAGTCCGTTATTACACTCTTAAATCCTACTACTCATTCCTGCATCTTTTGTGATCTTACAAAGCTTCAAACGACACGTCGACTATTAAATTAGTCGTAGACGATTTTAATAGTCGACGTAATCGTGACTAGTCGACTAATCGTGGCAGCCCTATTTCTCAATAATGTTTAAGTGTGCTAAATTTAATTTTGCAGTTTCTGCTGGCAGTTATTTAATAAATCATAATTTACTTTTTTCCTAAACATGATTTTTTTCTTAAAGTGAACCAATGTAGTAAATTGTGCAACATCCTCCATATAATTTAAATTCAATTTAGGGGCTGTAATGATTTAAACTATTAAAATCTTTGGTACGTTAGTGTGTAGAGTGTAGGTTTACTATTATGGAAATCATTCTTATAAATTGCACTGTAAAAATTCTAAAATTACATTACGTGCATTTTTGTTTTGTGATATTACTCAGCTTACTAAGACCTAGAGATTGTTTTCTTTTCCTTTTTTCTGTAACTAAACTTTTAAATACAAAGTTTAGTTACATAATGCATCTTATTACAACACTGATCTTATGAATGATTTCACAAATATAAAAATAGTTTGAAAAACAAAATGAAGACATTTAAACGAGAGTAAATAACAGTTGTTTTAACTCAACTCCTGCTTCCTTATTCAGTAAATGACTAATCGCTTATTAAAGATTGCTGAATGATTGCCTAAAGTGATCACTTATTGGTGTATGTGAGGTTAACCATGCAATGCTAAGCTGCAACTACTCAGCTCCTCTCTTCTGTGCGTTGCACACAGACTGAGGTTTGCCAACATTTGTAAAGTCATGGCTTGTAAGGAACATTGTTAACAACTATTTGCTTTAGGACTTGTGTAACTGTAAAGTTAAGGTTTTATCATTCAGAATCATTGTTTTGTACTGAGTAAAAAGGACAATCAGACCTGGCCACGTTGAAATCATAGAGTTGACCATGAACTCCTCTGTATACCAAAGTATTCTAGAGTCAAATGTGAGGCCATCAAACAGCTGGGTCATGCAACAGGACAGTCATTCCCACCACAGTTGTAAAACTACAAGTTAAAAAAGAAAAGAATCAAGGTTGCAACGGCCCAGTCAAAGTTCAGACCTCAGCACGACTGAAAAACTGCATAAACGAATGACAATGAACTAAAGCAACATTATAAAACTCCTCCACAGCCAAACCTTTGTCTCACCTTGAAAGCACCCATAGTTTTTGAGATGTAACGATTTGTCACACAGAGCAGATGAAATTATGTCAGTGCTCACCTCTGTTCCCGGAAGTTAACATAAGCAGCTTTGGTAAATAACAGTGTTTCCAAGAACTTAACCGTAGGTCTAGCTTTTGAAAGATGATTGCTTTTGCCTTCAGGATACTCTCCCACCATCAAAGGTCAGCTGCTTCATGTGGACACCACCAGCAGCATGCAGTACAGGACCCTTCTGGAGGCTGAGATGTTGGCTGTAAGTAGCAGGCAATCAGCAACGAAGCTTTTCATTTGACGTTTTGGAGAGATTCTCGAAAGTTATTACATTTCCTTCAGCATTCAAGGAGAGCGGAGCCAAAGCAGACACCAGTGTTGCATACACACAAGGCGCCTCAAAGGTTAAAATTTGTTTTGTCTTTCCCATTTTTTTTATTTTTTAGTTCCACGTGATAGCCAGCTACCCCCGGGTATGGAACATGCCCCAGTCGTGGCAGTGTGAGATTGAGGTGTACAAGGCCACGTACCATTTCATCTACGCCCAGAAAAGCTTCTTCACTGGTGAGCAAGATTTCAGATTCTTTTATTTGGCCATGTGTGTATTGACACATCAGGAAATCCCAAACAATCTTGAAAGAAATGTGTCTACGAGAATCACTTTTTCTTTTCCCTTTCTTTTTTAGATTTGATCCAGGATTGGGCGAGTGACAGCGCCCCCGATATCTACTCTTTTGTGCCGTATTCCTGGAAGTTCAAGATCCTTTTCCATCAGTTTGAGATGATCTGGGCAGCAAACCAACACAACTGGATTGACTGTTCCACCAAACAACAGGAGAATGGTAAGACAGATCCACCGAACAGCTGATGTTCATTTTACATGAAATGTTTTCAAGAAATCACTTTTAATTTGTTTAAAAAACATCTTGAGCAGTTGTGCTTTCTGGAGGTGCTGCAGCCATTGAGTAACTGTCACTTTACGGGTCGAGCATTCATTCTCGGCAAGTTAAAGTAGTTAAAATGAAATGAAGGGTACTGTACGGTTATAAAAAGATGAGATTGATAGGGCGTTTTAGATGCTTAATTAGATAAGCCTAGAAGTTTAAAAACCTCATACTGAATATTTACTGCAAATGTGTTTAACGATGTCCTGTACCTTTCTGCGTGTGTCATTTTAAAGGAAGTTATGTGTATGTGAAATAACACAGAGCCTTTGTAATAACAGTGATACAGTTCTACAGTGTGTCAAATAAACCTGCTGTTTATGCTTGTCGTGTCTACGCTGTGAGATAAGTATAAGAAAAACATCCAGGTAGAGCACGAAGGCAATCGACGCTTTAGTACCTCTTTAACGTTGGCAGCTAATGTCCAAGGCATTTTAACTCTATTAAGTCATGATACATCTTACAGTATATGTATACTCTACTTAATCCTAGGAGGACAGCAAACTAATCAATTGCATTATTGATCTTCTATAGTGTACCTAGCAGCCTGCGGCGAGACGCTCAATATAGACTTCACTTTGCCTTTCAATGAGTTTGTTCCAACCACCTGCCATACCCGCTTCAGCTTAAAGGTGAGTGAATCGGTTTATAGTTTATTCCAAAAATAAATATCCAATAGAGAACTATTTTTTTTTTATGTAGTTGTAAAGGATTTTCTTGTTTAAAAAACATTTCAAAGCAGTATTTTATAGATACAGATTTATTTGCTCTTTACTCACAAATGTGACTCCAGAACATGTGTGGGTGCATTAATGTTCGCGTACTTTGTCCTCCTCAGGCGGAAGATACAGACATGCGACTTTCCCTGCCAGAGTGCCATCCGAGCCGCTGCCCCCTGCTCACCCTGGCCAAAGACTACCAGAACATGAAGCTGCCCCCAGACATGTTCATGCCGGGGGAGAATCAAGGAGCTCCTCCTCCGAAAGCCGCCAAGTCGAGGTGGAGGAACATCACCCGCGCAGAGTGAGTTAAGGCCAGGAATCATTTCTCTCTAGTTGTGGGGGAACAAAGTGAGTGCGTTAGCAAAGAGTATGATGACTCACCACCGTAACATCTCTTACTTCTGAGGTAAAAAGATAGTAGGTGGTAATTTCAAGTAAGAGTAGCACTAACCTGCACTTTTCATGCTGTGGTCTGATCAGTTGTTGCTGCCATGTTGGTTTGAAGTGACATGAAGTAGACTTTGTTTTAATGGAGCTCGTTTCTACTCAGAAAAGGGACCTTTTGAGAAGCATGAATACATCTTATGCAAGATGAAGCTGCAGTTGTGTGCCATTTAAGTCAAAAGTAATAAATACAGACATTAAAAATTAAAAATAAGCCTTGCACTGTTGCAGTCATATCTTGTTATTTCATGAACAGTAATTGTAAAAGCGTGGATAGCTTACAGATATCACATCTCGCAAACCCTCCGTTTTTTTTTTGTTGTTTTTTTTGTTTTAACCCCCGAGGGTGTTTCTATTCTCGATTTAGGAAATATCACCACTCTTACTTGCATATCTCGTGTTCTGAGATATTTTAGGGTGTCTTGCATGCACATGTTTAAGGGCTGCACGTCAAATTTTTAGTGATGTTCAAAGCAGAGTAATGCGCGGGCTGTTCCAAAAGCTTCAGTTTGTATTTCTTGAAGTAGGTGATGGGGGATTCTGAGGTCTCCTTTTTTTTTCTTTACGCCATTTCTTTTTATTTATTTTTTTTAGTTTATTCACTGCATGAATTAAGATTTGAATCCAGAAATGGCGTGATACATGTTTTCCTTTTTGTTTTGTTTGCTGTGGAACAACCTCAAAGATTTTATACCCACATTTTTAAAAAGGCAGCAAACTGTTATCCTTTTCTCTCCCCACGGAGCTTTGTTTTAATACAGTGCCTCAATTCTTACCTGCATCTGGTCACAGCACTTGTTTCCAAAATGATTCTACCTTCTGTGCAGATGTTGTTTTCTTCTCATGACATAAAGAAGTGGGGTGCTGCTGCTGTACTATCTACATGTTCTTATATGTGTAAGCATTACCCAAGCATTGTACTGGTCTGAGGTGGAGAGGAGAGAGCGGAGCGGGAAAAGAGAAACTGCGATTAATGGTCAATCTATTGTTCCGTGTACGGCCACAAGCTGTGGGTAGTGACCGAAAGAAAGAAATTGCTGAAATGAGCTTTCACCAAAGGGTATCTGTGGCTCTCGGTTAGCAGTAAGGTGAAGAACTCGGTCATTCGAGAGGAGCTCAGAGTAGAGCAGCTGCTCCTCCACATCAAAAGGAGGCAGCTGAGGTGCTTCAGGTGTCTGAGTACTATGCCCCCCAGATGAGGTATTTCAGTCGTGGCAAACCTGCCCAGGATACACTGGAGATATTGTCTCTTGGCTGTCATGGGAAAGTCTCTGTCCAGTTAGAGGGGTTGGTGCAGGTGACTCAGGAGACGAAGGTCTGGTTAGACTCCTAGCCCCACAAAGATGTATGTATGGATGTGTAGCAAGGTTTAAAAGCTAACTTACCTATTTATCAAGCTTCAAATTTATCTTGTATTGTGATATTTCGTACAGTAAATGCTTTACTTGTCAAAACTCATCAGGTTATGTGTTTTGCTCACATTAGAGCTGTGTGAGATTAGTGTTGACAAACTAGGAATTGAGCCTGGGCTTGTTATGCAAATGTGTAAACCACTCGGTCAGTGGGAGTTTAAAGAGATTGTAAAGATCCTTTGCTATTTAGGCAGCACATGCACATGCCTTGTGCACTGGCTACATGATAACCAACATCCAGATCATTTATTATACATGACCCACAGGCGCAGCACTGTCAGACACCCAATAACCCCCTGGGAGGTTACGATCGAATACTTTCTGAGCCGGCACGCTGTGTGCTACCGAGAAATCAGGCGTGACCTATTTGCTGCGTCTGCTGTGTCCTCGGATGAACGGGTCATGAAGCAAACGATAAAGTGTAAAATCCATCTGAAATGGTGATAAAGCATTATGACTGTGCTCTGAGTGTCCGTGTTTCTCGTCCTTACATCAGATCTGGTTGGGTAGATTGCTGGAGTGTGCCCAACTTTTTGCTTATCATTGACTACACCTGGCACCCCATTTATCCCCAGAAGGCTGATGAGCAACTCAAACAGTCATGTAAGCTAACTGCTCAGTATGAGTTCTTTAAAATCTGTCATCATTGTTTACATTCATGTGTAGATACTGTTGTTTTACCTCGCTCTGATTATTTTCCCAGTTTCTGAGATGGAGGAATCCATGCTATCGGCCTTGCGGCCCCCAGAACACACCTCAGTGGCTCACACATCTGCTTCAGCGCCCCACAGTCGGGCAACCACTGACCCCTCAGAGCTGCCCCCTGACAAACTTCACGTGGAAATGGAAATGTCACCAGATTCTCAAATAATTCTCTATGGGCCTTTGCTCCGAGCTCTGATTTCCATCAAGGTACCGAAATTCTTACTATGACTTACTATGTAGTCACTGAACCGATTTATTAATAGACACTTCATAACACAAGTACCAAGTAAGCATAAGAGGAATGAAATCATGAAAAAGTTGCCCTTTTTTAAACAATTTTCTAATCCCCCTCATATTCTGTTCTCACAGGAAAATTATTTTGGCGAGGATGACATGTACACAGACTTCGAGGAAGCCGTGTCGAGCCCTGTGTTGTCCACTTCTACTTCCTCGGGCCTTGGCTGGTCTCCACTGGGAATGGAAGACAGCGAACATAAAGAAACCTCAGACATCCATCCCCTTGACCTGCGGCCCTGGGACATCACCGTGCTCATTAACCTCTACAAAGTTCACGGCCGGCTGCCAGTGGTAAGACTGATGACACAAGTAGTTGAGAACGAGGGGTGGGGAGCAGAGTTAGTGCACAGAATATGGTTATGAAGCATTTGCTCACTGCAGTGGGAAACAGTCAAGTGTAAGACGAACAAAATAAGCCATTTTTAAAGTATAGTAATCAGTTACTAAATATTGTGTTTTTAATTGGTAAAAGAAAAATGGAAGAATGTAAATTTGCATCAGGTAGACAGATTGTATACCTTCGATAATATACATTAATTATCTTTGATCAGTAGGTTTCCATCAGTGTGTGTCTGTGCTGATGACTCAGTATGTTTGCTTACTGTATCTGGGCTCTACAGCACTGCAGCAGCGAGGGTCCCGAAGCTCCATCCGGCTTCTTGGAGCGGCTGTGTTTTGAGATGAAAAAGGGCTACAAGGAGACAAAGCTTCAGCTGCTCCTTTCCCCTGTTCACATCTTTGTCAGTGACAACTACCAGGTATTAGACTCACCTACCTGCTGACGCTGGGCTCCTGTGATTTATGGAGTTTCCTAAATATATAAGTATTAGACTAGATCTGATTGGTCTTAGACACTTCTAGTCCCATCTTTGTGTATTTCCAGCAAACAATTCTTCTATTTCACTCCCTCTACGCCTTTCAGTGACGCAAGGCACCTGCATCTTAGTGCCACACTATTTTTGGACTCCCAGACCACATTCCTATTTAGAGGGCTGTCCTGCAGGAGAGCACAGAGTTACACTTTATCATGTTAATGCAGCTATAGTGAGTAAACATAAATGAATAACTGAAGTTAAAACAGCATTAGAGCACATCTGCTCAACTTCTCAGTATTTCAGCTGAACCTTCATATTGTTTTTATACAAGCTAAGATTAAGTATCGTGACAACAGGCTAATTCGATACATTAAGTAGATCTTAATCACTGGTTGGTGAATACTATGCAACTCATGTCTACCTTTGTGGTTTTTAAAATATTTTAAAATATTTACAGAAAATTTATATCGTTATCGGGATGATAGATGTCTTATATTGGGGATATGAGATTTTGGTCGTATCGCACAGCCCTGGTGTCCACACACATATGTTTGTTTGTTCTCTTTCATAGCATTCGTTTCATGTCTCACTATGGGGAACGCCTCCTGCGTGACCTCATCAGAAGCTCAAATACCATTACGCCAGCCCTTACAGGCTGGCTAGGTGACGCCCATGTCAGGAGGGGCCAGTGCCTCCCTATATAATAGGCTGACATAGCATCAGATGTCATTCAAAAACCTCTTCTCGCTTCTCACAGAAGCCTGTAGACAACTGTGCTATTGGGTGCTAAAGCTAAACTGTCCACAGATTCGAGTGAACAACTCGGTCGCCGGGCGCTTTGTTCCCAGCTTTCAGTTGTCCACTAGCATACAAGCAGTAGCAATACTGTTCTGTGGCTAGTGCGGGTGCCAAGTAGCAATACTTTCACCCAGGAAGTAGCATATTTCCGAAAGCGAAGTAGCAACACTTTGCTAATAAAGGTACCCCTAGCTTCACCATCAGGTAGCAATACCCTTCGACGCTAGCGGTTTTACACATTAGGTAGCAATACCTGTAGAAAAGTAGCAACACTTTTCACCCCACGTTAGCGAGGAATAGCAATATTCTCCGCACTCAGTGTCAGTCTCGCTAACGTGCGCAACCCTCTAGCTAACCATGGCTACGACGGCCAACGAAGTTGCAAAACTTTGTCCTTGCGGCAAGAAGATTTCTGCCTGGGATACACACCCCGTGTGTGCGGCATGCCTGGGCTTATCTCACGCTCAGGCTGCCCTGACACCTGCACACGACTGTATCCACTGCGCAGCTGTCCCCCGCAAACTACTCCGCCGCAGGCTAGCTCGCCGGGCTAACCTGTCGGGCGGCGACCCTTTGCTGTGTGAGGCTGCTGCAGTGCAAGGAGAAACTGAGATGCCCGGTGATTTGGCCGCAACGCCAGGGCCGAGCTGGGCAGAGGCAGACCCTCAGCCCATCGCGACCGCTTTCCCGTCGCTGGAGGCACACGGAGATCGTGTGTTTTTCCGCGATGCTGGAGTCACCTGGGGAGGAGATGCTAACGAGGACGGAGATGAGTCGGCTGACTCGGAGCTCCTGCTGTCTGACGACGGCGAGGAGGAAGATTCCACCTCCTTGGCTAGCATCAGCTGGGCTGCAAAGCCCTCGGCTACCGGCGAGGTTGAAAAACCGACACCGCCGTCTCCCCTGGATCTCGACATGCAGGACATGTGCAAGCGCGCAGCCGCTAGGCTCAACATCCCGTGGCCCGCCATACAAACAGAGGTTGTAAAGTCTCGTATTGACGGTATGAAATAGCCGAAGGCGAAAAAGACGGGGAAGCATGTGTTGCCTGTTTTCCCTGATCTACTCGATGCGATAGCGGTGACGTGGAAAGCAAAACCTTACAGCGAGAAACACCCCATCGTGGGGAGCTCCCTGCTGGATTGTGAGGGGATGGAGTCTATCGGCCTCCGCCAGATGCCACAAGTGGAGCCGTTGGTGGCGAGCCATCTTCACCCGAAGACGTCTCTGTCCTCATCGGCCCTATCTCTCCCCTCCAAAACAGACCGCTTCCAGTCTAGCCTTACAAGTAAGTGCTACAAGGCAGCGGCTCTGTCGGTAAGAGCCCACAACGCCTCTTCTATGCTAATGGCTTACCAAGCTGAGCTAGAAGAGGACATGACAGCTAACACAGATACCACAGTGTGGGAAGAAATCTGCGTTATAACTGACCACGTCCTCCGCCTCCACAAGGTAGCCATACAGGCTACTGGGAGAGCCATGGGCCTCACGGTTCTTCAGGAGCAAGCACGCTGGCTCGGGCTCACCAACCCAGTTTCCCCCCTTCATGGGCCACCCTGCCGCCTCTCAGCTCCGTTCCAGAGCAAGTTCAACGGGACATGTTCCACACAGAGTGCTTAACTCGGGCCGGCGTCCCTGTCACCGGACCCGCCAGAGGGAAAGAGAGCCAAAGTTCGCAGTGTTGTTTCACGAGCACTTCTCTCATGCATTCTCTATTAATAAAAAGCCCCGACACGCGCATCCAGGCAGTTTGCCGAGGGCGCTGTCGAGTCTTGCAAAACACATGAAAAAATCAAACATGCTGAAAAACAGAGCACCGTCTGCCATAACGCAGCCCGTGGAGACTCGCGTTTCCACGGCTGTGATGATGCAGATGAGCCCGTCACCTCGCTCGCCTGTGACAGAGGTGACGGGATGCCGAAATGGCGTATGTTTTGCGCTGCGACCACAAGGGGGCGCCAAAATGCCATATTCGGTGGAGTGGCCAGTGAGCGCTCTGTCTCTCCACATGAAGAGCTGGGCCACCTGCACTCAGTCAGCATGGGTGCTGAGGACATTGAAAAAGGGCTACAGGATGCAATTCAGTGTCGCTCCACCACAATTCAAAGAAATTGTTTACTCTCGTGCTCCGGGCGAGTCTGCCAGTTTTCTCCTGGAGGAAATTTCCACCTTGAGAGACAAAGGAGCTATAAGAGTTGTCCCTCCCGAGGAAATGCACAGCGGATTTTATTCAAGGTATTTCCTTGTGCCAAAGAAACACAAGCATGATTCCAACTTCATCTGGCTTCTTGTTGGTCAGTAGTTAAAATTTTTATGGAGACACTTAATTTGTATGTGTTCCAAATATTGGCTTTGCAGCAGTAATATTATTTCAGTCAATGCATCTTTATGAGAGTGCAATTTAATTCACTTCACTGCACACGAAGGGCATTTTTTTGGCCTTTATACTCGGTGTTGAATGCATAGCAATGATTCAGCTCAGTTTACAGTACGTTTATGTGTTCTCTTGACATGTTGGACATTTTGCTGTACTGAGCTCTAGGACTGAGTATAGTCCTAGATAAACGTTTTAAAAGCAGGTGTCCTTTGAATTTAAGCTTAATCCATATCTGGATTCAGTCATTAAGGAATATATACCCCATCTTTTTATAGAGAAGAGCAGGTTCACCTGAATTTGCACTAAAGCAGGTGAAATGGAGTGTATATGAATTCCATCTGCATTACCAATTATAGTGCCTAAGGAAACAGAGTACTTTCAGGTGGGGTTCCTAATGTGTTACTAGTACTCATGCTGTGCTGTTGCAGAATTTGACCCAACAGAGATTAATCAAGCATTGTGATTATATTTGAAAGTGTTGGCCTACTAAATTATTATGTTTACAAGCAGACAGAAGCTTCTGTAACTCTTAAAATAAATTTTACTGACTGAAATCATGTTCTTTCTTTCCCCTTTCAGCCACCATTCTGTCCTGTGGATGGATTATCTATTTAACTTATTACAACTCACGCAACATTGGCCTCATTCTCACCCTCATCATCAACAGACTCTACAAGGATGGCTACATTCACATCGGTGTGTTCATCAGGAGCTCTGTCGCACAGGGATGAATAGGGAGGAGGAAGCGTTCAGTTGAAGGCGTTAACTCAATCTGCTGAATATTTCATGATGAGCCAGGTTCTCTCAGTGATTATATCCACAGCATCTGAGCAAACGATACCAGACTTTCTAAACATGGGTGACACAATCCACAATCCAATGAAACCTTACTTAGTTTTTAGGATGTGAGCTTCTCTTTCAAAAACGCATATTAATTAAACACAAACTTGAACCTGACTGACAGCATGAATGAGAAATGCAAAATGACAACAAAGGCAGCATGAAAGTTTAATGAGAAGAGCAAGGCGTAGTTGACATCTCTTTGCCAACATATGCTGGTACAAACTGAGCAGTCACCCTTTTGTTTGCGATTGACTTTTCTATCCAGATAAAGAGAACGTATACTTTTTACTGACATATTTGTGTCAGGTGTTAAGCAGGTTCAAACATGCCTCAGGTGTGTTTCGCTATCATTTAGCTTCAACTCAATCCTGCATGAATTTACAGGAAGGCATTAGCCTTTGTGGTTCTGTGTGGATTTTTGGAGCGAGTTAGACATTGTCTCGTCAGTCAGTGGAAAGGAATTTCACCAGTGTGAGGAAGCTTTACATTGGATGATAATGCATGAAGCGCTCAGGTGCTGTCGCTCTGTTTGCATGAAGTAATTGAAACTGAGAAAGACATGTTATGAGCCAAAAGAGATTATTAACAGGAAATCAAATTCATCCTTCTCACTCAGTGACAGACTCAGACCCACTTGCTGATTTAGATCGTAATTAAGATTGTTTTTGGGGTGTTTTTTCTCTCTCTCTTTGATAAGAGTGAAAGTGCGATTAAATATCCCAGCAACACCCATGCTGCTGTTATTGTACCAGAGCTTTTCTAATTCTGTAATTGCAGTTTTGTAATGATTCATTTAACTGGTTAAGCTTGAATTGAAGACATTGCAATCAAATCCAAAGAAATTTGCAGGATGTTACTAGTACGGTTTAATAGTAAAACCAACACTTTATGTTGCCATTTTAAAACATGCTCACACTGTTCAACTTTGCCTTTGTGCACAGGCTCCTTCTCCTTCTCTGTTCTGTCAGGGAAGGTCATGTTCAGAGATGTCTACTACATCAACCAAGACATGTCTATCAGGTAATCTGACCGATGTTTCTGTTGTTGCTTCTCCTCCATCCGTCCCACTCTTATCTTATAATTTGCATGCTGATTGTTGTTTGTGTGTGTTACAGGATACAGGATGGCTTTCTCATATTTCGTTGGTGGAAAATGTATAATCCAAAACAGAAACAACATGGTGAGTAGAGAAGTATTTGATGACTGCTTAGATTAAACTTTTAAATGCATATGTTAGTCCACCACAGAAAAAATATATGTATATATTGGAAATCTTAGGTTATCTATGTTTGACTATCAAGATGCAACTTTTCTAACTGAGTTAGTTTCATGTGGCAACATCACCTTGAGTTCTGAGTTGTCTCTGTTTTTGCATCAGATCCCAAGGCAGAGACGAGGCTTTACGTGACTGTCAACGGCTTTGAGTTCCATGTCTATAACCGGACTGACCTCTACGCACGACTGCAGGAGACCTTTGGACTGGAACCCACGCTTCAAAGGCCCAAAAAAGATGAAGAGAGGGGGCGAGAGGACAGAAACAAGACACTGGAAAGGTATAACTACGGCATCATCGGGCAACTTTGCTTTTTATCCAGTGTTAAAATTCTTTGTAAGACATGAGTCTTATTTGAAGTTTCTAAGTTGTTAATTGCTCTAGTTGTGTTACCTTAAAATCAAATAAAAATGCCTTTGGATGATTTGTCAGTTTTTAGCTATATCTGAAACAAAAAGAACACATGCAACAGTCTAAATGCTTGTTTACCTTTTTTTAAAAAAAGTGTATATTTTGTTTTTTAATTGTGATAACATTGTTGGGAGTACAGCTTTTTATATTTTCTCAGCATGTCTGTATGGTTTCAGTTCAGCAGAACAGAAATGAGTGCAAGAGCACATTCAGTGGTTGTGAATAATAAACAGCTGCTGAAAAAGTTGCATAATGTCACACCCTTTTCTATCTGTTGTTACCAAGTGGATTAGAAGTGCAGACAGAACAGAGCTACTGTCGTTTCCTGCTGACAGTCAAATTAGTTGAACTGACTAGAATCACACCTCTACTTAAAGATTGTGAAACTGTCTTCTGTTTCTTGTGTAGTGTCAACATTAAAGCTGAAAGTCAGGATCCCTCATCATCTTGGCGGTCCCTCATTCCCGTCATCAAAGTTAACATCAGCACTGTAAGTACCTAAGAACATCTCAAAACCTTTTAGAGGCATGTAATACAATTTAATAAAAAAATAATGTGTGTTTGCTGTCTTGTAGGGCCGCTTAGCATTTGGGAACCACTACCTTCCACAGTGTTTGCTGTCTTGTAGGGCCGCTTAGCATTTGGGAACCACTACCTTCCACAGACTCTGTGCATGAACTTTGAGGATGCCTGCCTGACGTATGCCACCAAACCTCCCTCCAGCCACTTGGACCAGTACATGCACATTGTCAAAGGCTCACTGGAGAATGTGCGGGTCATGCTGGTTCCCAGTCCTCGCTACCTGGGCATGCAGAATGACGAGTGAGTTCAAGTCATCTAAGAAAGATAAGCACATAAACAGTATTTCTCTGTTTACAGTGTTGTTGATAATAAAACTTTTTACCTCAAAGCATTTTTAGAGGAGTTGTAGCCCAAAAAATAACTCGGCTTGAAGAATATCCTATTTCTTTATTTCCACGTATTTCTTTAAGTATATTATAATGACTAGTGCTAGTTCTCCGTAGTGCTTCTCATCTATCCTGCCGCATGCATATCTATGGTGTGAATCTTAAGAACAGACAGGATGAGACTGGGTTTGTATTTTTCATCTAGTTTGTACAAAACACAAGTAGAAGATTTTTGTTACCTTAGAATAATTTTATTTTAATGACTGCTGTTTTTTACTCAATTACGCTGCCAAGTGAATGTCGCTCTTTCAAGTACACTGAGACTGAATTGCATTGCATTAAAGATCATGGGTTTACAGTATAGAAGAATAGGCCACAGAGTTCCAAGTCTCTGTTTAACATATTTGCCCCCGAATTGTCATTTCGTGAATTTCTCATCTAGACCCCCCAGACTGATGGGAGAGGGCTTTGTTGTGATGCAGTCCAATGATGTTGACATCTACTATTACCAAGATGAACCAGGTAAGCTCATGCATGCACACATCCGCTGAGATTTCTGACATTAACAAGACATTAACATGAATAACTGATAGCTGCTGACACTAAATGTAAAATTTGCCAGCCAGTATGCTGTCTCTATTAAAGTATATTCTTGATTGTTTTTAGTGCAGTTGTGTATTTTTGTTCAGCCTTCTGCTGATACCCAGGTTTTGACGTTTTCACTGTGTATGTGTCCAGGTCTGGTTCCTGTCGAGCAGGAGAGTGGCGAGGAAGCAGAGACGAGCAGTGAGGATGATAAGCTGCAGGACCTGCCTCCTTGCTGGGGTCTGGACATCGTCTGTGGGAAAGGAACTGACTTCAACTATGGGCCCTGGGCAGACCGGCAGAGGTGAGCACAGATGGACAAAACAAAATCAGCAATATGAAACCTGAACTAATAGGTTTTTAGAGTACAAGCTGACAGTTGGAGGTATTAGTTTTAAAGACATCTCTGTTTTTAATTGTAGTTCATACAGGTCCTGCTCAGGATTTTGTCACTGTAATACCACAAACTTATTATTGCACACACAGAATTTCCTTGGGTGAGCTGCCCAGACATATTAATCCTGGCTCAGTTATACTTTCAAGCATATTTACAGTGATGTGGTATGAACTGGAGAACTGGAGCGTAACTCCTTTTCATGTGTTGTTGAGCTCACCAAGGCTACCGAGTAAAAGCGTCATCAGCTGCACACCAAGAAGTTGGAGATTGTCTGTGGAGGCCATCACAAAGTACTAGGCATTAAAAACGTCTGCAAGCAGTAGGCTGCGCACTGATGCTGTGTCCATCTCTTTATTGCCTTAAATCTCTGAACATTATGTGAAATCCTTACTGTTCCTGTGTACACATAAAAAGCTCTTTGTTGCTTGGTTGCTGAAGTTGTTTTCAGGGTCGTTATGCACTTCCATATTTTAGATTTCATTCCAACTAAAACATGAATGAATGTGTTTGAGATGATGACCTATTGCTCACGAACCAGGAAAGAAATTAAATCCAGCTTCAGTATTTGCCGAGGGCTGGCTTCTGGAAGGCAGCCAATCAAAACTGATTGGGTTTGGTTTTGATTGATGACAGAAAGAAAACTCCTGATTTACTGGACAGTTTAGTTTAGAGATGTGCCAGTAGAAACTGGCTGAAGGGGGGGTGTCATCAAGTCTTTTATTCTAACACCCCGATGGTATGATTAGTTCACACTTGTAAGTATTTAGACTTGGCTCTATAATATGATTTTACCTTCTTCAGGGACTGTCTGTGGAAGTTCTTCCTGCCTGCAGACTACCAGGCTATGAAGGCAACTGAGGTGGCACAGCCGGGAAAACCCAGGCAGATCCAGGCCTTCGAGCTTCGCATGAACATCATTGCTGACGCCACCATCGATCTGCTTTTCACCAAAAACAGGGTGACTCTTGCTCTCTCTCCTGTCTGCTTTTTTTCCCCCTGCCAAACTCTTTGATCTGTCTTCGTCTCCCTGCTGTTCTGCTCGTTTTTGTCTTTATATCTCACCATGTTTGAGCTATTGATATTGGTTCATGTTTTATGCTTTTTCATATTTTCTTCCTGGAGCAGTGCAGGGATCTTCACAAAGCATGTGAAGTGCATACTAAATAACACCATTAATACATGTTGAATAAAAACCTAAAATTGCTCGAGTCGGGAAAGATTGTCATTTTATTACATCTTTTGAACACATTTCTCTTCAGATTAGGTGATGTTTTTCTTTCTTGTATTTTTATTCTCTGAAGCGCCCACTCATAATTTGACAGCATGTATGATATTGCTGCTTGCTTTCTCTCTCTTCTGATACGTCTTCATCCCTGTTACTAGGAAACCAATGCCATTCATGTGAATGTAGGTGCAGGCTCTTACCTGGAAGTCAACATCCCCATGACTGTGGGAGAGAATGGTAAGTGTGTGTTTCACTGAAATAACAGCAGTAGACCAAAGTATGAGTGTTCACATCAGCAAATATCCCCCTGGCTCAAGGTCAGCCCTGGTTAATGTAGGCGCACGCAGCAGTTTTCTCATCATGTAGTAATCATCTTTTACACTTAATAATGGCTGAACTGCTACTGTGATAAGCAGCTTTATCAGATCTCACTAGAAGTTCATTTAAGTGTACAGCGATGGATTCTTCAAGCTGCTTATAGTATGGCTAATGATGAAGATGAGGGTATCTCTGTTTTTATTATTATTTCAGATATTTATTACCATTGATATTCATCAAATTCATTTCTCAATAGGGCTGCCAGAAACGATTATTTTGATAGTCGACTAGTCACTGATTATTTTTGCGATTAGTCGACTAATCAGATCATGCATCCATTGGACATAAAACGTACAGCTTATTGCACCAGCATGCATCTGCTCTTATATAACTATCATTAGCTTACAGCTTTAAGTGTTTAAGGTATGTGCTAACTAAAAATAAAGACAAGATGATAGTTTATTAAATTTAATGAAATTTGCAGATTGTTTCGGTGGAGTTTAATAAACTCAGCCGTCTGCTCCTTGCTATCTAAAATATAACAGGACACCGGAGTATATTCTCGAGCATCTCACACTTCTGATAATCAGTTGTCTGCTTGACGTTTATTCAGCTGTGTAAAAACTATAACTTTAATCTCAGCCAAACCGATTTACTCAGGAACAAATAAAATACTGAAAAAAAGCCAAACAATAACATTTTTAAGTTATCTAAGTGACTCATATATCATGTTTAACCTGAGTAGCGAAAGACGGCGGTGGGTTTGAAAACGATTTGCCGGGAGTCCGGTGTTCTCACGGCTCTAGTGAGCCTTGCCCCCGGCTAGCTATCGAGCTAGTGGGTAACAGACGTCTCCGAAAACGTCGGAGCGCTTTTGAAAATATGTGGTGTCTTGATAAACTGAGCAGATATTTGAGGTTTACACAGCTACATTCTCCCTGAAAATATGTTAAACGTTTATTTTGTGACCCAGAAAGAATAATAAGAGTAATATTAAAACTAACTAGCTGCCGCCATTGTTGACAACTGAGCTGGGCTGCGCTATGAATTCTGGGACACAGCTTCTTCTTCTTCGGGGTTTAACGGCAGCTGGCATCCTTGTACATGCAGTGCTGCCATCTTCTGTTTCAGTCCGTTATTACACTCTTAAATCCTACTACTTATTCCTGCGTCTTTTGTGATCTTACAAAGCTTCAAACGACGCGTCGACTATTAAATTAGTCGTCGACGATTTTGATAGTCGACGTAATCGTGACTAGTCGACTAATCGTGGCAGCCCTATTTCTCAATAATGTTTAAGTGTGCTAAATTTAATTTTGCAGTTTCTGCTGGCAGTTATTTAATAAATCATAATTTACTTTTTTCCTAAACATGATTTTTTTCTTAAAGTGAACCAATGTAGTAAATTGTGCAACATCCTCCATATAATTTAAATTCAATTTAGGGGCTGTAATGATTTAAACTATTAAAATCTTTGGTACGTTAGTGTGTAGAGTGTAGGTTTACTATTATGGAAATCATTCTTATAAATTGCACTGTAAAAATTCTAAAATTACATTACGTGCATTTTTGTTTTGTGATATTACTCAGCTTACTAAGACCTAGAGATTGTTTTCTTTTCCTTTTTTCTGTAACTAAACTTTTAAATACAAAGTTTAGTTACATAATGCATCTTATTACAACACTGATCTTATGAATGATTTCACAAATATAAAAATAGTTTGAAAAACAAAATGAAGACATTTAAACGAGAGTAAATAACAGTTGTTTTAACTCAACTCCTGCTTCCTTATTCAGTAAATGACTAATCGCTTATTAAAGATTGCTGAATGATTGCCTAAAGTGATCACTTATTGGTGTATGTGAGGTTAACCATGCAATGCTAAGCTGCAACTACTCAGCTCCTCTCTTCTGTGCGTTGCACACAGACTGAGGTTTGCCAACATTTGTAAAGTCATGGCTTGTAAGGAACATTGTTAACAACTATTTGCTTTAGGACTTGTGTAACTGTAAAGTTAAGGTTTTATCATTCAGAATCATTGTTTTGTACTGAGTAAAAAGGACAATCAGACCTGGCCACGTTGAAATCATAGAGTTGACCATGAACTCCTCTGTATACCAAAGTATTCTAGAGTCAAATGTGAGGCCATCAAACAGCTGGGTCATGCAACAGGACAGTCATTCCCACCACAGTTGTAAAACTACAAGTTAAAAAAGAATCAAGGTTGCAACGGCCCAGTCAAAGTTCAGACCTCAGCACGACTGAAAAACTGCATAAACGAATGACAATGAACTAAAGCAACATTATAAAACTCCTCCACAGCCAAACCTTTGTCTCACCTTGAAAGCACCCATAGTTTTTGAGATGTAACGATTTGTCACACAGAGCAGATGAAATTATGTCAGTGCTCACCTCTGTTCCCGGAAGTTAACATAAGCAGCTTTGGTAAATAACAGTGTTTCCAAGAACTTAACTGTAGGTCTAGCTTTTGAAAGATGATTGCTTTTGCCTTCAGGATACTCTCCCACCATCAAAGGTCAGCTGCTTCATGTGGACACCACCAGCAGCATGCAGTACAGGACCCTTCTGGAGGCTGAGATGTTGGCTGTAAGTAGCAGGCAATCAGCAACGAAGCTTTTCATTTGACGTTTTGGAGAGATTCTCGAAAGTTATTACATTTCCTTCAGCATTCAAGGAGAGCGGAGCCAAAGCAGACACCAGTGTTGCATACACACAAGGCGCCTCAAAGGTTAAAATTTGTTTTGTCTTTCCCATTTTTTTATTTTTTAGTTCCACGTGATAGCCAGCTACCCCCGGGTATGGAACATGCCCCAGTCGTGGCAGTGTGAGATTGAGGTGTACAAGGCCACGTACCATTTCATCTACGCCCAGAAAAGCTTCTTCACTGGTGAGCAAGATTTCAGATTCTTTTATTTGGCCATGTGTGTATTGACACATCAGGAAATCCCAAACAATCTTGAAAGAAATGTGTCTACGAGAATCACTTTTTCTTTTCCCTTTCTTTTTTAGATTTGATCCAGGATTGGGCGAGTGACAGCGCCCCCGATATCTACTCTTTTGTGCCGTATTCCTGGAAGTTCAAGATCCTTTTCCATCAGTTTGAGATGATCTGGGCAGCAAACCAACACAACTGGATTGACTGTTCCACCAAACAACAGGAGAATGGTAAGACAGATCCACCGAACAGCTGATGTTCATTTTACATGAAATGTTTTCAAGAAATCACTTTTAATTTGTTTAAAAAACATCTTGAGCAGTTGTGCTTTCTGGAGGTGCTGCAGCCATTGAGTAACTGTCACTTTACGGGTCGAGCATTCATTCTCGGCAAGTTAAAGTAGTTAAAATGAAATGAAGGGTACTGTACGGTTATAAAAAGATGAGATTGATAGGGCGTTTTAGATGCTTAATTAGATAAGCCTAGAAGTTTAAAAACCTCATACTGAATATTTACTGCAAATGTGTTTAACGATGTCCTGTACCTTTCTGCGTGTGTCATTTTAAAGGAAGTTATGTGTATGTGAAATAACACAGAGCCTTTGTAATAACAGTGATACAGTTCTACAGTGTGTCAAATAAACCTGCTGTTTATGCTTGTCGTGTCTACGCTGTGAGATAAGTATAAGAAAAACATCCAGGTAGAGCACGAAGGCAATCGACGCTTTAGTACCTCTTTAACGTTGGCAGCTAATGTCCAAGGCATTTTAACTCTATTAAGTCATGATACATCTTACAGTATATGTATACTCTACTTAATCCTAGGAGGACAGCAAACTAATCAATTGCATTATTGATCTTCTATAGTGTACCTAGCAGCCTGCGGCGAGACGCTCAATATAGACTTCACTTTGCCTTTCAATGAGTTTGTTCCAACCACCTCCATACCCGCTTCAGCTTAAAGGTGAGTGAATCGGTTTATAGTTTATTCCAAAAATAAATATCCAATAGAGAACTATTTTTTTTTATGTAGTTGTAAAGGATTTTCTTGTTTAAAAAACATTTCAAAGCAGTATTTTATAGATACAGATTTATTTGCTCTTTACTCACAAATGTGACTCCAGAACATGTGTGGGTGCATTAATGTTCGCGTACTTTGTCCTCCTCAGGCGGAAGATACAGACATGCGACTTTCCCTGCCAGAGTGCCATCCGAGCCGCTGCCCCCTGCTCACCCTGGCCAAAGACTACCAGAACATGAAGCTGCCCCCAGACATGTTCATGCCGGGGGAGAATCAAGGAGCTCCTCCTCCGAAAGCCGCCAAGTCGAGGTGGAGGAACATCACCCGCGCAGAGTGAGTTAAGGCCAGGAATCATTTCTCTCTAGTTGTGGGGGAACAAAGTGAGTGCGTTAGCAAAGAGTATGATGACTCACCACCGTAACATCTCTTACTTCTGAGGTAAAAAGATAGTAGGTGGTAATTTCAAGTAAGAGTAGCACTAACCTGCACTTTTCATGCTGTGGTCTGATCAGTTGTTGCTGCCATGTTGGTTTGAAGTGACATGAAGTAGACTTTGTTTTAATGGAGCTCGTTTCTACTCAGAAAAGGGACCTTTTGAGAAGCATGAATACATCTTATGCAAGATGAAGCTGCAGTTGTGTGCCATTTAAGTCAAAAGTAATAAATACAGACATTAAAAATTAAAAATAAGCCTTGCACTGTTGCAGTCATATCTTGTTATTTCATGAACAGTAATTGTAAAAGCGTGGATAGCTTACAGATATCACATCTCGCAAACCCTCCGTTTTTTTTTGTTGTTTTTTTTGTTTTAACCCCCGAGGGTGTTTCTATTCTCGATTTAGGAAATATCACCACTCTTACTTGCATATCTCGTGTTCTGAGATATTTTAGGGTGTCTTGCATGCACATGTTTAAGGGCTGCACGTCAAATTTTTAGTGATGTTCAAAGCAGAGTAATGCGCGGGCTGTTCCAAAAGCTTCAGTTTGTATTTCTTGAAGTAGGTGATGGGGGATTCTGAGGTCTCCTTTTTTTTTCTTTACGCCATTTCTTTTTATTTATTTTTTTTAGTTTATTCACTGCATGAATTAAGATTTGAATCCAGAAATGGCGTGATACATGTTTTCCTTTTTGTTTTGTTTGCTGTGGAACAACCTCAAAGATTTTATACCCACATTTTTAAAAAGGCAGCAAACTGTTATCCTTTTCTCTCCCCACGGAGCTTTGTTTTAATACAGTGCCTCAATTCTTACCTGCATCTGGTCACAGCACTTGTTTCCAAAATGATTCTACCTTCTGTGCAGATGTTGTTTTCTTCTCATGACATAAAGAAGTGGGGTGCTGCTGCTGTACTATCTACATGTTCTTATATGTGTAAGCATTACCCAAGCATTGTACTGGTCTGAGGTGGAGAGGAGAGAGCGGAGCGGGAAAAGAGAAACTGCGATTAATGGTCAATCTATTGTTCCGTGTACGGCCACAAGCTGTGGGTAGTGACCGAAAGAAAGAAATTGCTGAAATGAGCTTTCACCAAAGGGTATCTGTGGCTCTCGGTTAGCAGTAAGGTGAAGAACTCGGTCATTCGAGAGGAGCTCAGAGTAGAGCAGCTGCTCCTCCACATCAAAAGGAGGCAGCTGAGGTGCTTCAGGTGTCTGAGTACTATGCCCCCCAGATGAGGTATTTCAGTCGTGGCAAACCTGCCCAGGATACACTGGAGATATTGTCTCTTGGCTGTCATGGGAAAGTCTCTGTCCAGTTAGAGGGGTTGGTGCAGGTGACTGAGGAGACGAAGGTCTGGTTAGACTCCTAGCCCCACAAAGATGTATGTATGGATGTGTAGCAAGGTTTAAAAGCTAACTTACCTATTTATCAAGCTTCAAATTTATCTTGTATTGTGATATTTCGTACAGTAAATGCTTTACTTGTCAAAACTCATCAGGTTATGTGTTTTGCTCACATTAGAGCTGTGTGAGATTAGTGTTGACAAACTAGGAATTGAGCCTGGGCTTGTTATGCAAATGTGTAAACCACTCGGTCAGTGGGAGTTTAAAGAGATTGTAAAGATCCTTTGCTATTTAGGCAGCACATGCACATGCCTTGTGCACTGGCTACATGATAACCAACATCCAGATCATTTATTATACATGACCCACAGGCGCAGCACTGTCAGACACCCAATAACCCCCTGGGAGGTTACGATCGAATACTTTCTGAGCCGGCACGCTGTGTGCTACCGAGAAATCAGGCGTGACCTATTTGCTGCGTCTGCTGTGTCCTCGGATGAACGGGTCATGAAGCAAACGATAAAGTGTAAAATCCATCTGAAATGGTGATAAAGCATTATGACTGTGCTCTGAGTGTCCGTGTTTCTCGTCCTTACATCAGATCTGGTTGGGTAGATTGCTGGAGTGTGCCCAACTTTTTGCTTATCATTGACTACACCTGGCACCCCATTTATCCCCAGAAGGCTGATGAGCAACTCAAACAGTCATGTAAGCTAACTGCTCAGTATGAGTTCTTTAAAATCTGTCATCATTGTTTACATTCATGTGTAGATACTGTTGTTTTACCTCGCTCTGATTATTTTCCCAGTTTCTGAGATGGAGGAATCCATGCTATCGGCCTTGCGGCCCCCAGAACACACCTCAGTGGCTCACACATCTGCTTCAGCGCCCCACAGTCGGGCAACCACTGACCCCTCAGAGCTGCCCCCTGACAGACTTCACGTGGAAATGGAAATGTCACCAGATTCTCAAATAATTCTCTATGGGCCTTTGCTCCGAGCTCTGATTTCCATCAAGGTACCGAAATTCTTACTATGACTTACTATGTAGTCACTGAACCGATTTATTAATAGACACTTCATAACATAAGTACCAAGTAAGCATAAGAGGAATGAAATCATGAAAAAGTTGCCCTTTTTTAAACAATTTTCTAATCCCCCTCATATTCTGTTCTCACAGGAAAATTATTTTGGCGAGGATGACATGTACACAGACTTCGAGGAAGCCGTGTCGAGCCCTGTGTTGTCCACTTCTACTTCCTCGGGCCTTGGCTGGTCTCCACTGGGAATGGAAGACAGCGAACATAAAGAAACCTCAGACATCCATCCCTTGACCTGCGGCCCTGGGACATCACCGTGCTCATTAACCTCTACAAAGTTCACGGCCGGCTGCCAGTGGTAAGACTGATGACACAAGTAGTTGAGAACGAGGGGTGGGGAGCAGAGTTAGTGCACAGAATATGGTTATGAAGCATTTGCTCACTGCAGTGGGAAACAGTCATGTGTAAGACGAACAAAATAAGCCATTTTTAAAGTATAGTAATCAGTTACTAAATATTGTGTTTTAATTGGTAAAAGAAAAATGGAAGAATGTAAATTTGCATCAGGTAGACAGATTGTATACCTTCGATAATATACATTAATTATCTTTGATCAGTAGGTTTCCATCAGTGTGTGTCTGTGCTGATGACTCAGTATGTTTGCTTACTGTATCTGGGCTCTACAGCACTGCAGCAGCGAGGGTCCCGAAGCTCCATCCGGCTTCTTGGAGCGGCTGTGTTTTGAGATGAAAAAGGGCTACAAGGAGACAAAGCTTCAGCTGCTCCTTTCCCCTGTTCACATCTTTGTCAGTGACAACTACCAGGTATTAGACTCACCTACCTGCTGACGCTGGGCTCCTGTGATTTATGGAGTTTCCTAAATATATAAGTATTAGACTAGATCTGATTGGTCTTAGACACTTCTAGTCCCATCTTTGTGTATTTCCAGCAAACAATTCTTCTATTTCACTCCCTCTACGCCTTTCAGTGACGCAAGGCACCTGCATCTTAGTGCCACACTATTTTTGGACTCCCAGACCACATTCCTATTTAGAGGGCTGTCCTGCAGGAGAGCACAGAGTTACACTTTATCATGTTAATGCAGCTATAGTGAGTAAACATAAATGAATAACTGAAGTTAAAACAGCATTAGAGCACATCTGCTCAACTTCTCAGTATTTCAGCTGAACCTTCATATTGTTTTTATACAAGCTAAGATTAAGTATCGTGACAACAGGCTAATTCGATACATTAAGTAGATCTTAATCACTGGTTGGTGAATACTATGCAACTCATGTCTACCTTTGTGGTTTTTAAAATATTTTAAAATATTTACAGAAAATTTATATCGTTATCGGGATGATAGATGTCTTATATTGGGGATATGAGATTTTGGTCGTATCGCACAGCCCGCACACACATAAGTTCTCTTTCATAGCATTCGTTTCGTGTCTCACTATGGGAACGCCTCCTGCGTGACCTCATCAGAAGCTCAAATACCATTACGCCAGCCCTTACAAGCTGGCTAGGTGACGCCCATGTCAGGAGGGGCCAGTGCCTCCCTATATAATAGGCTGACATAGCATCAGATGTCATTCAAAAACCTCTTCTCGCTTCTCACAGAAGCCTGTAGACAACTGTGCTATTGGGTGCTAAAGCTAAACTGTCCACAGATTCGAGTGAACAACTCGGTCGCCGGGCGCTTTGTTCCCAGCTTTCAGTTGTCCACTAGCATACAAGCAGTAGCAATACTGTTCTGTGGCTAGTGCGGGTGCCAAGTAGCAATACTTTCACCCAGGGAAGTAGCAATACTTTCCGAAAGCGAAGTAGCAACACTTTGCTAATAAAGGTACCCCTAGCTTCACCATCAGGTAGCAATACCCTTCGACGCTAGCGGTTTTACACATTAGGTAGCAATACCTGTAGAAAAGTAGCAACACTTTTCACCCCACGTTAGCGAGGAATAGCAATATTCTCCGCACTCAGTGTCAGTCTCGCTAACGTGCGCAACCCTCTAGCTAACCATGGCTACGACGGCCAACGAAGTTGCAAAACTTTGTCCTTGCGGCAAGAAGATTTCTGCCTGGGATACACACCCCGTGTGTGCGGCATGCCTGGGCTTATCTCACGCTCAGGCTGCCCTGACACCTGCACACGACTGTATCCACTGCGCAGCTGTCCCCCGCAAACTACTCCGCCGCAGGCTAGCTCGCCGGGCTAACCTGTCGGGCGGCGACCCTTTGCTGTGTGAGGCTGCTGCAGTGCAAGGAGAAACTGAGATGCCCGGTGATTTGGCCGCAACGCCAGGGCCGAGCTGGGCAGAGGCAGACCCTCAGCCCATCGCGACCGCTTTCCCGTCGCTGGAGGCACACGGAGATCGTGTGTTTTTCCGCGATGCTGGAGTCACCTGGGGAGGAGATGCTAACGAGGACGGAGATGAGTCGGCTGACTCGGAGCTCCTGCTGTCTGACGACGGCGAGGAGGAAGATTCCACCTCCTTGGCTAGCATCAGCTGGGCTGCAAAGCCCTCGGCTACCGGCGAGGTTGAAAAACCGACACCGCCGTCTCCCCTGGATCTCGACATGCAGGACATGTGCAAGCGCGCAGCCGCTAGGCTCAACATCCCGTGGCCCGCCATACAAACAGAGGTTGTAAAGTCTCGTTTTGACGGTAAGAAATTGCCGAAGGCGAAAAAGACGGGGAAGCATGTGTTGCCTGTTTTCCCTGAGCTACTCGATGAGATAGCGGTGACGTGGAAAGCAAAACCTTACAGCGAGAAACACCCCATCGTGGGGAGCTCCCTGCTGGATTGTGAGGGGATGGAGTCTATCGGCCTCCGCCGGATGCCACAAGTGGAGCCGTTGGTGGCGAGCCATCTTCACCCGAAGACGTCTCTGTCCTCATCGGCCCCATCTCTCCCCTCCAAAACAGACCGCTTCCAGTCTAGCCTTACAGATAAGTGCTACAAGGCAGCGGCTCTGTCAGTAAGAGCCCACAACGCCTCTTCTATGCTAATGGCTTACCAAGCTGAGCTAGAAGAGGACATGACAGCTAACACAGATACCACAGTGTGGGAAGAAATCTGCGTTATAACTGACCACGTCCTCCGCCTCCACAAGGTAGCCATACAGGCTACTGGGAGAGCCATGGGCCTCATGGTTCTTCAGGAGCAAGCACGCTGGCTCGGGCTCACCAACCCAGTTTCCCCCCTTCATGGGCCACCCTGCCGCCTCTCAGCTCCGTTCCAGAGCAAGTTCAACGGGACATGTTCCACACAGAGTGCTTAACTCGGGCCGGCGTTCCTGTCACCGGACCCGCCAGAGGGAAAGAGAGCCAAAGTTCGCAGTGTTGTTTCACGAGCACTTCTCTCATGCATTCTGTATTAAAAAAGCCCCGACACGCGCATCCAGGCAGTTTGCCGAGGGCGCTGTCGAGTGTTGCAAAACACATGAGAAAATCAAACATGCTGAAAAACGGAGCACCGTCTGCCATAACGCAGCCCGTGGAGACTCGCGTTTCCACGGCTGTGATGATGCAGATGAGCCCGTCACCTCGCTCGCCTGTGACAGAGGTGACGGGACGCCGAAATGGCGTGTGTTTCGCGCTGCGACCACAAGGGGGCGCCAAAACGCCATATTCGGTGGAGTGGCCGGTGAGCGCTCTGTCTCTCCACATGAAGAGCTGGGCCACTTGCACTCAGTCAGCATGGGTGCTGAGGACATTGAAAAAGGGCTACAGGCTGCAATTCAGTGTCGCTCCACCACAATTCAAAGAAATTGTTTACTCTCATGCTCCGGGCGAGTCTGCCAGTTTTCTCCTGGAGGAAATTTCCACCTTGAGAGACAAAGGAGCTATAAGAGTTGTCCCTCCCGAGGAAATGCACAGCGGATTTTATTCAAGGTATTTCCTTGTGCCAAAGAAAAGG